CACCATTAACATGGTACCAATCCAAAATTTCGATGCGCTGGCTGTGTGTTGCATTCCCCTTCTTGGTGAAAACTCGTGAGGAACTGTCTTTTTTCTTATTGGGCTCATTTTGCTTGTGTTCTGGCCCTTTAATCTAGTCAGTTCCTGTAGTGGGCATCATAAAAATCATACACACATTTTTGCTTGCTCCCCACCACCTTGCTGAGGTCACCTGCAGCCTCTCGTAAATTCCTCACAGCATGCTTCTGTGCCTCATCCAGTCTCTCCAAACCCCTCTCATAGTCTGAGGCATTCTCAAGTGCTTCTAAGGTCTGCTCTTCATCTACCAGATTGGCCTCATGGTCAAGCCAACTCTCATCTTGTGGCGAGATTGACTTCCCTATGTATCATGAACAGCACTCTGATCATCTAGAAAGTGTATTGGATTGTATCCGACTTCTGTTATTTTGTTGTCAACATGCTCTCAACCGCAAAATGGAGTTATCCGGACAACAAGTAATGGCATATTTGATGTCGCTTTACTGGTCAGGTGTGAAAAGAAGTCTGTTGGTGAGTTTTCCTAGCCTACAGTCAAAGAAGTCCTGGTATGTTTGTCATACCCTAAGTTGTTTCAACAAAATTGACTCACGCTGAATACCAATACTAGTAACATCATCATGACTGACTCAGAAGAACTCAGAATCAGAGATGATACAAGTGATGTAGAAGAGCCCCACAAAGACAATGAGAGCGACACGCCAGAATGAGAGAAGTCCTGATTTGACAATATGGAGGAGGGCCTTGAAGTGAGCTAATGTTCAATACTCGGCACTGGTTATCTAAAAAACAATAGGACACTGTTACATTGGAAGTGCACAGAGGTGGTCACTTATTCGTTCGATCACAACTAGAAGATTACATACTGCGCGGAGACAAGCTTGAATTGTATTCATTTTTCCAATTTGTGATTGACATGTACTAAGAGATCATCCCAGCAGAGGAAAAGGATGGAGAACCCAAGGCCAGAACATCCTCATGCGGCCGTTCACGAAATGAACGCAGCTGCTACAAAGAGGGGCACAGCAAGTATCAAACTCATCGTCGAGTTGTTCGTTGCAAGGGCCACAGCACCTTACGAAGCATTGTCGGTCCATTCTTTCCCAATCCTAATGATCCAACGCACAGAGATATATACTGTGCTTCGATGTTGGCTCTTTTAAGTCCTTGGTGTGACCTGAAGGATATAATGGCAGGGTTCAACGACTTTGAAACAGCATTCATGTCGTTCTCGGAATCAGCATCTCAATCGGACAAAGATATCTTGGCTGGTGTGCAATATTACTATGATTGCAAGGCCGCTGCAGTGTCCCACCGGGAAAGTGATGATGAAGGACCACAAGCAGAATGACCATCATGCGGACATGGATGTCGCAGATTCCTTCGATGAAGATGATGAAGATGATTGCATGGAGATAAAGTTGACAGAAGCATATTTGCATGCATACGAAGCATCACAGAAAAATCACCGTGAAGAATTGCATGGATTGACGGCTATCGCAGCCGGACGGACGAAGATTTTCGGTGACGAGCAATGCAATTGGTCAATTGGATCAAATGCTATTGATATTGCTCAGGGAGTAGATTACATCAATTTTCAAAACTGGCAAGCTAAAATGACGGAGGACATCACTGGTCTCGATATCAATAATCTGTCGACTGGTTGTCATACTAGCAATCCTGGCAAAGTCACCACTCTCACCTCTGAACAGATCATATCCGAACTTCACGAGGACCATCATGGAGTTGAGCCAATGTCAATGATGATGCAGCCCAAAGTACTCGAGCACATAACTGCCATCGACCCCTCACAGTTGCTCAAAGACCAAAGACGTGCCTACGACATAATTGACTGGCATTTGGCAGAGACGCTAGCCAGGCAAGCACCACCACAGCTACTCATGATTATTCCAGGTGAAGGTGGTGTAGGGAAATCAAAGACAATCCAAACAATTACGGAGAATTTCCGTGATAGAGGAGTTGCCGACATTCTTGTCAAGGCAGCATACACAGGCATTGCAGCATCCATTATCGATGGCAAGACACTTCACGTCATTGCGCAGATCCCAGTAAATGATTGTGGACAGTCGCAAAAGGCCAGCAGGAAGCTTGCAGCTTTCTGGAATGACAAAATGTACTTGATTATCAACAAAAGTTCCATGATGTCACGTACATTTTTTGCCCGTCTCTTGGCATATATAGCAAAAGGGAAGTCTCTAGCCGGCAAGAAGGATACCAACAAGCCCTTCAGAGGAGTCAATGTAATAATTGTAGGAGAGTTCCACCAATTCCCACCTATTGCTGGTGGTAAAAATGCGCCACTGTTCTGGCCTTGCAATACTTCCAAGGACAATGCAGAGGAACTTCTTGGTCAGAAGCTGTATGAGGAGTTTAGAGTTGTTGTTCGACTCAAGGAGCAAGTAAGAGTCACCGATCCAGACTGGTTAGACTTACTGCAGCATGTTCGACATGGTAGCTGCCGTGCACATCACATCAAATTCCCATCTCTCGTAATCACCAATCCAGACTGCCCATCTGTCGATTTTATGGTACCGCCTTGGAACAAAGCCGTACTGGTGACACCTCGTCACTCTGTCCATCAACATTAGAATGCAGTCATGGCACAAGCAGAGTGCCGAAGAAACAGAACTCGACTGTTAATATCTCCTGCATATGACACATTTCAAAACCGGCCACTAACACTGTCAGAGCGCTTTGCAGTGGCTATGAAGCCAAAGAGGAGGCATGGCGGAAAGTGAGATGAAGGGGCTGCACTACCGAATAGAGTGGAATTAGCAATTGGAATTCATGTTATGGTGACTTTCAACGTGGAAACTGACGCTGACCTAGACATCGCCAATGGTTCTCAAGGCAAAATAACGAAAATTGTTCTCGATGAACGTGAAACAGAGTTCTCGCCAACAGCTGCAATCGTGGAACTAACATATCCACCGGTATATGTTCTTATTAAGCTGAACCATACAAAAGTGGTTCAGCTTGACGGTCTGGAGAAGAATATATTACCATTAGTTCCAATGGGGCGCACATTTACCATTATCCATGGGAATCACCCGAAATCCATAAGAAGACGGCAAAATTTACAAGTTGAAATCAAAACTACTGTTTGGGTACCAGCGACTACACGCCAAAAACCCCGAATCCACATCAGGAAAACCCTCCCACCCTAAATTTGTTTAAATTATCTGTATTATCCAAATTTTCGACAATTGATCTAATTAGCATAATACCTTCTAATAGTCTAAAGATCCACCAGTCAATAAAAATTCCTGATAATACATAAGGCAGTCAAGTTATCTTCTAAACAAACTTCAAGCAATGTACGAAAATAAAACCATTAGATTGTTATGTCTGGATCATTATATACAGCAGCTGATATGTATGTTCAACTATTCTACACACAGATGACACACACGCGCACATACAAAACGAGTGTCTGGAAAGACAGTCAGGCAAGAAGGGTAAGGTGATTGAAATGATGGTCCCATCAGGAACTTCTGCTCGATGGTAACAGCTGAGTAATGATGCACTTGACAGTGTTAGGGTGCAGGCGATGCTTGAGGTGGCTAAAGAACAAGCACACAAAGTCAGTGTGCATACCCTCATCACGGCTAATGAGCTCGTTGGAGAACGTAAGACCAGGCATAAGACCGCGTTTCTCGAGTCAGAAGATGGACTCGGACACGAAGGAACCCAAGAAGAAGATGCCTTCAATGGCATTTGGAAGCTGTAGAAGCACCGGGCCTCAGCAGCCTGGACCTCGTTGGAGAAACATTTAATGAGGTTTTCATTAACAATGCCGTCGGATGCAGTGAAGAAGGTGAGGACGTGTGAGACAAAGTGATGCTCATTGTCATTGAGACGATTGGTCCAGTCATGGATGTCTATTGAGAGGTCCATCTATTGGGGGGGGAGTACTTGGGACAAGTAAATAGGTGCAGAATCGTTCTTGGGCCAAGCCATGATAGTGCGGAACCGTTCTTGACCTTCCACTAGTACTAGTATATTGCGATATCAGTCTGGTGTTTCACAGAAAGTTGTTATGAGAAACTTACGTGCTACTGGTACTAGGTAGTACCGTCAGTCAAATTATTTGAACCTCGCAAAGGTATGTCTGTCCAAGTACGAGTTCAACCAGAAACTCTCGCAGTCGTCTAGGACAGTATCACTCATCCACTCACGTGGCGCAACAGCGCCAAATCTTGGGACAAGGTGAGTGCTGCACAAAATATTGGTGACAGACACAATGGAAGCTAAACGCTCTCCACCCCGTGCTAGCGCCCAAGAGAGCTTGTAGAAACCATGGTTCCGGTCAGGTGCTGGGGGGAATGGTGTGAACCACTCGATGTATGCAAGATGACTGGGTACTTGGACAGTAGGTGAAAATAACATCAGTATTGATCTGGGTGGCAAAGCAAACAATGCACGAACTCAACCCACCCGCAAACCTGCATACCAGTTATCAGCAACACATAGTATAGTAATTGATCAAAACACATACTTTTCAAACCTGGAGCACCTGTCCTCTGATCCACTAATGCTGTATCAGATTGTCGAGCCACCAGACGAGAACCAGAGCGTTGATGTGGTTTAGCATGTATACTGTCAAGCGTGACAGATGCCTCGCCATGGCCACGGGTGTCCAACGACACCCACTTAACCTTGTGGAAAACGGGTAGCGTGCGGAAAGGAAAATGAACATCAATGGCCAAGTCGTCAAGTTCCTGACCTCGAGCAATGTAGCGTGCCAATGCCTCGCGGAAATGGGTCGCACCGTAATCATCGACAAGTTTCTGCAGGCTAACAGCCTTTGCACTAGGGTGTTTTGTCATGACTTGCTCACGACGAAAGCTCATGTCAGGAGGATGTGAACGATAAGCAACAGACTCGTGTCTACCAGAAATCCGCCAGCGAATATACTTGTCGTGGCAAAGTATCTTCTCCTTTCATTCTAACCAGGCAGTCATTTGAATGAATTCGTCCTTGTGGTTTGTCGCACGGTAAGCATCCTTCGCAATGTCAATGTGGAGGTGTTCGGTGTATTCAGTATCGTAGTTATCTGTTGTACCGAACAGCATGATCATATGGGGGTAATGGCGAGCAGCGTGGAGCTTCGGTAAGTTGAAATTCTTCCGTATACCAAGGTTGACGAAAATACCCTTGTTGTCGTGGAAAGTGTCTAGTGCCACCTGCAATAGTTCTAGAGTTTCGGAGCTGTGGCAGGGATATTGTGTGAGGTACAAAAAATCCAGTAGTCCCTGCACTGCACGTAAGAGACGACTTGCGTTCAAATTGTTTGGTAAGAGAATGTCAATGATGATTCCCAGTAGAAATCGGCAAATCTGGGCATGTTCCTTGCCACTCAGATGCGACAAGGTGGTGATACCTTTCATAAATAATCGTATGTTGTGGTTCAGAGGGAGATGGCGACATCGAGCGTCAATTTCAGCTGCTCCGCACGCTTCTGAGAGCCACTGGACAAGATGTTTTACTAGGCCCTGGTACAGCTGATGTAGTACATCAGGGGTGATAGCACAAAAGATGTTTGCAAAGGGGAGATCCTCCCAGAATGGGTGAACAATGGGCTTGATGCCTACAGCAGCGCATGCATGGACAAATGCAAGACTTCCATGATCAAGAGCAGCAAGTGCATCTAGCACTGAGCCCAGATTGCGCAGGTGAAAGGCTACTGTGTTGCTCCTGGTGTCACCAGCGTCAATGTTGCACTTAGGGCACTCCATAAACTTCACGCCCATAGCTAGGAGCTGCTCTGGATAATCCCCGACAAAGGAGGCAAACAAAGGGTGACAGCGGCGAAGAGCGCCATCACCACTGTGCATCTTGACACCATCCAATCCCGCACTTTTGAGTGGGCCCAGTATGCGAGACATGCACGCATGATACAAGTTGGAGATAGTACGACGGCGAGAGGCTTTATTGGATATGTGTTCGAGATGGGTGGTGGGCAGATACCCAAGGAGGATGTGTGCGCTGCGTGAAGGTTTACGACGGATCTCCTTCGGTATGTTTCCGATTGTCAGGTAAACTGGGTAGGCGGCCTTATTGCGAAACAGGGTCACTTGCGTTTTATCAGACAAAATGATGATTGGTATGATTGTGCCTCCGGGACAGCGTTGATCAAGCTTTTTCTAAGACAAATGTAAGTATTTAATCCAACAAATGCAGATGATCCTTCGTACCTGAGTGTCCTACCACCACTTCCCTGTATGCATGTCGTGGAACAAGCGTGTGGTCTGATCTTCGTCGGCATAATGCCGCTCTGGAGTGAATGCGAGATAATCCGCAAAATCGGGATCACCGTAGAGTGCCTTAATGCACTCGATAACATCACAGTAGTACACATCAAAAGCCTCGCCAGCAACAATAACCTGTTCATGCCTGAATTTCGGGCATCTGGTTGGCAATTCGTTCAGCTCCTTCGCATTTTTAAAGGAGAGCCCCAAAGACTCCCTAACCTAGTAGAATTTACAGTCAGACATTTATAATATATGTGAATAGCGAAGTACTCACTCCGTTGATTGCTAGCAAGTCAGTAAATGACGTAGAACTGGGTCCGCGCAGTTTCGACCATCTTGCAATCTCCCAGTCAATCTGGGAGCAGAAAGGAAAATACGGGTTGTTTCCATCATCGAAACACACTCCATATCTCGTGTTGGTGGCATCGTCATTGGCACTGCTACGAAACCATGATGTCCTTGCGCACACTCTTGAACTTGCATGCGATCATCACGGCCAGGATCTTCTTCCGCAACTTCATCTTCCTGGACCTGCAGCTGGTCTCCCACAGGATCAGGGACAGGAGGCTCCCACTCTGGTTCCATGGATATGCCATCATCTGAGTCGCTATCAGCATACTCAGACTCAGATACGTCATCACGCCACTCCATCTCATAGTCTACTTCACCATCACCATAGTTCTCACCCTCGAAGTCGTCACCTTCAAAGATGGGTGGTTCAACCGGTTCTTCCTCGGCTTCCATATGGTGGTCTTCAGCGGATGTGTGGTTGACTGGTTGATGTGAGCGATAGAGCACTTGACAGCGGGGGTCTTGACTCTTGGCCAAATGCTGGCTAAGGCCGGTGAAAGTAAGGCCATCGTGCCTACATGCTGGGCAGGTTTGCATGTTCGAATTGCAGGGCAAATGTGGTTGTAAATGGTAAGTGCGAAGAGTGACGGTACCGAATAACTTGAAAGAGGTGCCCATTGGCAGTGCAGGTATGCAATAGAGTCTGCAGGGACGACACTAGCGTACTTTCCATAGTTGCAATTGGCGGACTGTAAACTAGAAATTTAGCTCCCCATATATTCCTTAATGAAAAACTTAATAGACGTACCTCCTCACACCCACATTCCTTCATCCTCAGGTTAATATCTGTCCCGTCTTTCAAGGTCACTAGTACCATCATTCATTATCATTCATTAGTAAGAAAACAACAAAATGTCCGCACCTTGTAGCACCCACAGCAAGTGAATATATTGTCATGCAAGAGGCTCTTATCATGTGCGTTGACAGCGCTGCGCAATGCTAAGAAAAAAGCCTTGGAAAATGCTGGTGAGATGAAAACAATTCTATTAGTGTGCGACACTCACCAAAGTTTGGATCATAGTCTGGAATGTGGACAAAGCGAAAAGTAGATCAAAAAACCAGACCACCAGTCCTCAAGAAGTGCCAGTGGACCTCACTATGCAGAAGAAGAAGCCTGCAGCACCAACCAGTCAGGTGAAAAAGATGACCGCCACTTCAGCACCAGGTGCGAAACCATCCAGCAAAAGTAAGTGTGGATTTGATACTGTACCTAGATGTTAGCGGTTGATTGTGATTAGAGCGGTCACATACCATAGTAAGAGACTCAGATGACGAGGATGCCGAGTCCATGGATGAAGACCTTAGAGCTCAAAAGAAAGGTTTGTTAGTAGTTCATTAGTAGAACAAAAAAATTTACAAGCTGGTTGAATTTGAATATTGTAGTCCGAAGCACCGCGCCAGCCAAAGCTCATCAAAACGAAGATGACGACAACGATGCTACTGTGGATCGTGAGGTCGACTCCGATAATCCGAACGGCTCAAATTTGGATGATTCGGACATTGATGAAGGAGAGAATGAGTCACCAAGATCAATCGCAAGAAAGCTCTTTGATGAGGTCCCAGAGTCATTGGCGCTCCCTCCAAGTCAGTATCGTCGACAACAGTATCACCATCAAACGGCATCACGTGAAAATTCAAAGCCAACTGCGCGTGATCACAAACACGCAACAGAGGTCAGAACTTACCTCAGCGTTTTTTGGAGCTACTATTACTACTATAATCAAATATTCAGATCCCTGCCTGGGCTGATGATGTGGCGGTCTCAGACTCTGAATCTAGTGGTGATCCAGACTCGGACGATGCAGGAAGCACTACAACAAGAAGTTCGAGGATGCCTGTACCTCCCGTGGCCAAAAGTAAAGCACACCTAGTGATAACTGAGTCAGGGAATGTGAAGCTCCTTGATCAGAACCTGGATACGAAGAGAGTCGTTAAATGGGCGATTTTGGATGCAAAGAGTCACCTTGTGTTTGTTGACAGGTTCCCAGAACTGATCAACAAAAATCAGCTTTCACACAAGTTGTTGCTAACCGTTGCTGGGGAATTGGGTCTGCATGAGATCGAAAAGCATCTGCACTTGGACGAGAACTATATCACGCTGCTGGCTGCCCTGGTGAGTATTTTCTGTGAGAATCTGAGTCCATCAGTGCTAATGTAAATGGCCCGGCGGGAAAATAGGTAGATGCCCACATCCCAATCCTGCGCCGTGAACTGAAAGACGATGCATTGGCAGGCGTCTCCGGTTACTTTCGTCTGGGGCACATAGACACCGACAAGGCCAAAAGTCTTCTTGTGCAGCATGCCTATATCTACGTGATAAAGTTTGACGCAAGTTGATACTAATTCTATTCGCTGTCGTGTTTGCTCACATTTTTGTATTACTAGGCTCAAGGTGTTCCTAAACCCATACCGAACAAGCCCTATCAGGGTGAATTCTTAATCGCCCTAATTCATGGCCGCATTTTCAATGGCGCACAGTCTGTCAGTGTCCGTTTTGCACAACACTTTATTGAGATCGCGCAAAACAAAGCCAACCGTCCAGAGGTTTCTATCCCCATAGTGGCTCTCATTGCAACTGCGGTATTTCTTTTCTTTTCCATTTATTCCTGTCCTGACTCTCTTTCAAGGTGTATGCTGCACTGTTGTGGAAGTCAGTGGGTTCACCTGCGAAGTTCAGTTTCTCAGGTAATCAGTTCAGCGAGACTTACTTTTTTCATGCGAGGTTCTTGGAAAATATGAGGGATAAAGTACCAACAAAATTCCATCGCATGATGGCCGACATTTACGAGGCTGTACAGTGAGATTTTCTGGTCTTTGGTCTGAGTTATTCGTCGCATATTGATTCGACATTACAGGCTTTTGAGGTGCACTCATACTGAGAAAACTGCAGAGCAAGATGCAGCTCTCGATCTCCTTGACATTGATGGAATGATGGATGATGACTCTGACTAGTCACTGACTCATTCTCAATAGCTATCTCATTGTTGATAGTTTCATATGATGCTACTATGGTTGCGAACATATATTACCTATTAGATACCCTTCTTTAATCAAAAGCTTATTTTTTCGTGTAACATTCAGTGTGATTGTATGATCTGAGCCAGCAAACTCAAATCTATCTATCCAAATGTAAAGACAATAGTGCAAAAATTGTTCACCAATACCTTCTAATTATCGAGGATTATCAAGGATTTTCAATCGATTATCAAGAGGTAACATAATCCATCTAATCTTCTAAAACCGCTAATTATCGGAAATTCCACCAATTATCAAGAATTACCAGCAATTAGTTGGAATTAGACGCGAAGGTTTTTCCTGATGCATTTTAGGGACATTAATCAGGTGTTCGGGCAAATGTAGTTGAAATGGATCTGAGACCACAGATCTGCATGTCCATGTCAGACTTGGCAGTGTTTGAAATTTGACGAACCAAACCTTGAAGTCCCGCAGAGCGGATAAAATCATTGCATGCAGAATCTTTGGTAGAGACACACATTGAATCTATTGATGACGTCAACAGTGAATCCAGTCGAAGAGCAAGGTGCCATAGTGAATGAATTACTGGGCGGCTCAGGGTTCAAAGCAACTTTGGACGCCCTGGCACCTCCATGCACAAACCGAATCCAAATACACCTTGCCTTCAAAAGAATGTTCACGATTCAAATGTGCAACCGCAAGCGCGCCGAGAAACATGGTTCAAATAAGCGGGTAGGCTCACGTTTTTGGTAGAGAATGCAATTGAAGCAATACTTTCCCGTGCCTGCAGAGACTCATCCGGGAAATCAAGGAAATGTCGGATCAATCCGTCCAAAAAAAAGGGTGAGTAATCACCAGATCAGGCATCGAGAGAATGGTAGAGCCTAGAGGGTGATATTTGCGACCAAGCCCTCCTCCACTAACGTGGGACTCGGGGACTGCGAAATGTACGTGAAAATCAGTCGGTAAAGCGAAAATTACCACCCGAGAACGAACAACTTGCGTTTGAAAGCGAAACGAAACTTTGAAATCGCTGAGAATTTTGTCCGCTGGCGCCAGATACAATTATCGGCCAAGTCGATTGGCGCTCACGCGCCGCTACAATATCTGCAATATTTGTATATGGACAAGCAAGGTTAAAAGAATCGGCCACGCCGATGGGCCTGGATATCACTTGCACCGACGTATATGTCAAATTTGACGATAAATTCCGATGTGTACACAACTTGGTTTTCTTCAGCCACAATTATCAGTTCTAGTGACCTTGTAAACAAGGTAACTAGTAGACCGTATGGGTTTTATGTCACAAGGGGCATGGGTTATGTGGTATCAGAGAGTTATGGGTTATGGGTCGAAATCCCCTGCATTCCAACTCGGTAACTCAAAAAACCTATGGGATATAAGGAAGTATGGGTTACCAGGGCTATGGGATAAGAGGGCTTCGACTGTATTCATAACACTTTGGCTTTGACGTACAAACAAATGGAGATAGAAAACTATGGATGTACAGGCGTCTACGTCGTTCATTCACATGACATAGCTAACCCTTCGGTATCATCCCTGCTTGCTACTGAACTTGACGATGACCTCTGGCGTTTTGCAGAGCGATGAGTGGATGTTTCAGTATTGGTCTCCTGTCCTTTCTTCCCTTTGAATTCCTTTCGGTTGGCATCTCGCGTGGCATTCACGAAAAAGTTGTTGAGTCCAGACGATGGGGGGAAGTGGTGCCAGAAGAGCATTGGGGCAACGGTAGGTTTGACACGGAAGAAATACTCGTTGTCCTTGTCAATAGCCACCCAGGCAGATGTCCACTGACACTTTGCACAGGTAATGCGAACCTTGCCATTCTTCGCTGACATCCGGTTGTCCGATACTGTGGGACGGCAGCCCTCTTTTGCGCATGCACTGAACTCATGACCAAACGCACGATATGGAGGACGGTGCTTGCTTATCTCTCTGCTCTCAACTATTCGCTTCCCCTCTACGTACGAGGCATAGACAACCACGATCGTGTTGTAGTCTAAGACATCTGGACTGGAGGCGAGCAATTCGCACAATGAATCCCAGACATCCGGTATTCCGAACAGGGTAGCGTTGCGAACGAATGCTTGAACCGTGGGGCCAACGTGTACAGGGAGGGTTGAGGATCCTCCAAATCCGATGATGAAATCAAAGATATCGCTAAGATACATTTGAGGGAGATTGTGCGATGAACCAATGCAATACCACTTACTCCTTCACCAATGTCAGCAGGGAGTCAAAGTGATGACTAACCCGTATGGCAGGCCCACAAGTGACGAGGATAAGGCCGCGTCGTCCACCCCTCGCTTTGGGTGTGGTGTCGCACCATGGCGCGCTACCCTTGATGGTTGTCTCCACCGACTTATCATCCCTCGCATGTGATGCCGCCATCCTCATCGCCTTTATGAACTTCTTACCGAGGTAGGCTTCTATGATTTCTGCAGCCGTGGTATTGGTTCCTCCCGAAGCCCCACCGGTATGCTGCAACATACCAGTGTACTCGTCAGAGTGTGTGTCCATGATCACAAAGGTATTGCTAGGAATATTTTCCAAGATGGAGGTGGTGATAAAGTTCGAAGGGATCTCCAACATACGCGACTGTTGCTGACAAGCTCCTGCCTTCATGGCTAACGTGGCGGTGGTCAGCTGTCATTACAAAGGTTTAGCTGCTAGGGGCCAAGGAAAAGGAATGGCTTACATTTGCAGGTGAGTGTTTGTATTGGGTCACAAGGTCAAGGTTAATCAGGAGTTTCAGATAGTGGTCCTTCATCGATTCCAAAGTTATGTGTACAATGCATGCTGGCCACGCCTTCTTCACTCTCTTGCGCATACCATATCCGATTACCTTGTAAGGCAAGCTCCTCTCCTTTCCATCAAGCTTTCTAGCGCACAGTGGGCACAGGAACTCCCAGTTCGTTGGGACCGAGTCGTGGCCAATGCATCCTGATCCGCCTGGCCGTGTTTGATGACATATAACGGCGCCACATTTGACGCACAAGTAGGATGTCTTTGTGTCGCACCCGTCCGAGCAGAAATGGCAGAAAGTTCCAAGAGGGTCGAATTCAATTTTTGTAATCTCAGTGACAGCAGGTTTGGGGGCATGAGTAGCTCGTAGCTTGAGTGTTGAGGCCGCAAGTGATGAATCTGGCAATGTCAGAGAGCCGATGTCGAGGCGCCCAGGAGCAGAACGAGCGATTCCGAGGTGAATGGCAGCAGCACGACCTTTTGGAGCCATGGTGTTCGAGTTGAGGGGCCCCAACAAGATAGTTCAAAGCAATATTAAAATAATCTTGGCTAGCCCCAGATCTGGGCAAACTCGTTTTTGACACTCCGATCAATCTCCGACCAAACGCTTCTTGGGAAGGTTGAAATTCGAATTACTTACTAGGTTTGGCGCTGGTCCTAGTGAGAACCGGACCTCACCGTATGGACGGCCGAAATATTTAGGCAGGAACGCAAGATTTCCGTAGATGAGCATAGAGAATGGGACTTATCGTCAAGTTCTGAGCTGTTCGACGGAGATCTCACCATTTCGCGCTGATTCTCGCATACAATATTTCCGTCGATGATCGTAGATTCTTAACTGTAATTGTACCACACAATTATAAAACTACAGAAATCGCACGAAAACGACGCTGACACAGCGTAAAGCCACAGAATACGAAAACAGGGTAATGAGAGAAAAGTCTGAGATTTCCCGATACTATCCTGAGATTACCCTCAAAATTTTACCAGTAGAAAATGTATCAGGATTTACAGAAACCGACATCATTTTCCTCAAAATACACCGTGCATTTCTCCAAGATTGTTCCTTAGATTACTTCGAAGTCAAACATATGCCATCCCCCGCTTCTAAATTCACTAAATAGAACTTGATACATGTGTGCTTCAGACATCGAGCAGGACAAAAGTACAGCATGAAGACGAGTGCAGAACATTGACAACTACCCCATCCTCCTCGCTGTGCACACCATGGACCTCCCTTACCAAGCACCGGGACAGATCCTAGATGCCTTAGGTGAAAGCATGGCAATGCAGGGGGGAGTCGGCATACCTCCCATGAACTATGGCCATCCAGGACTAGTGCCATAGGGAGTGCCAGTATCGACATCGGCACTTCCAGACTCAAAGGCAGGAGACACTGGCAAATTGTCGAAGACTATGGTTCTCTCACTCATTGAAGGGCTCAACCGGTGTATCACAGAGCTGGAGAATTTAGATGGAGTACGTCAGCAGCAGGTAGCGCAGATGATAGCTCACCAGAGTCACTGTTGCGAGGCTGGCAATCAACAAATGTGTGAGCGCTTTGAGCAACATCTCACGGAGTTGGATGGGTCTGTCCAACAACATATTGCCATGGCCATGAAAAGCTTAGAGAGAGCGCCAGCAGTGAGAGATGTAGACGGTGTTGATGAAGAAAGCTCAGATGACAGTGAGGGGGAGATGGACCGTGTTGGAGCAAGTCTTGAGGCATACTCTGATCGAGCATTACTGGTGAGCATTGAGTTTGGAAACAAACACTCACGTACCTTATCTTTAGGCAGTTGTGCGGCACGGGTTTGCACACTACATGGGGATCCCGAACCTTCAGGTTAAGCACCTGCCTGTTAGCTGGCCAAAGGACGATGAGGCATGGCTGACTGACAGTGTGACTAGCACAAAATTAGTTCGTTTTCTATGGGAAGAGAGTCATACACACTCGGATAATCACGAAGGTCTCTGCAAGATCTGGACCTACATCCATGAAAAAGGTGCCCTCTTCAGTCCGTCGGCTGAAAAGGCCTTGAAGGTAATCAGTGAAGAGCATCTCCGCGAGCGAGTGATCGAGAAGTACCACAGCTTGCAAAAAGCTCTTTGGCCCGCAGGGCATATTCCTTCGATGCGGGTTTCTGCTGTTGCATCTGCAACAGCCAGTGCACAGCGACTTGGTGAACCTGGTGATCCTCCTCCATTGACAAAGGGGGTGCGTCAAAGTCGTCAGTTGGGGGTAAGTTCAGTTCGTCTTGCTATTCTTGAATTGACACTAATTAAATAAAGAAATTGGAGGTGCGAGAGCGGAAGTTCAAAGCCTTACCGGATGACTCCAAATACAAAACTGATGCATACAAGACAGCTCTCATTCAACAGCTGATGTCTGAAGATGAGAATGAGAGGGATGCTGAAGGAAAGCTAACAGGATGCTTTTTAATGAGGCCGTGGATGTGGGCCAGTGACAAAGTAAGTTACAGTATTATACAAAACAAATAATCCACTCACAAATTTGAAAGAGGAACATGTTCATTGCAGACGTTGACGCTCAACAAGATCCTGAGCTGCCGAAACGATACACCAAACGTGTCTGTGGGCCGATAGGGAAGGCTGGGTTGCCCTGGATCCAAAAGGTTGAGCATCGTGCACGGAGGTGGATGGTCTCACCACAGTGGCTCGTGGATCCTGCAAACCAACAGTTTGATGTGCCAGCGTTTGTCATCGATAATGGTAAGGCGTGGGGGAGCCAAAAGATCCTGAAGAGAGTGTCACAGAAAAGAAATGTGTCAAGATTGAGAAGAGAGAATATGCGGCAAAGAAAAAAATCAAGCTTGATGAAAAGGTGAGCAAGAAAGTCAAGGCGAAGGGGAAGGGAAAAGGGAAAGCAAAAGCCGTCGAAGAGGCACAGCCTGTCACTAGTTCATCAAAAGCGGTGGCTGAAAAGGATGGAAATGAGTCCAGTGACTTTGAGTAAAATTGATTTGGTATGTACCTGACGTTGATGGTGACTCATACTGATTAAACTCAAAGCCCACCACCCACATTGTCTCCATCATCATCATCAAAGTATTCTTCAGGTTCCATTCCTGACTGCAGAGATTGAAGTGTATTAGTAGACCAATAGACTTACTGTTTGTCGAGAGCTGTACATGATCAAAAGACACCGAAACCCAGAGATTTTTCTTGATGATGTTCGAATGGACAGGAATGAGGGCAAGAGGGCACACGATGCGTGAGACAGGAATGACTTCATGTGGAAGAAACTCGTTCGCATATGAAGTATGAATCCCGAGGGTATGCTCACTGAAATAAATAAACAATCAAGTTGACGACTCGGAGTGACAGACAAGCACTTACAATAATGACCAAGGCATTAGTGGAATGTTCTCGTCAGATTTGAAGCGACGGACAAGAGCGCATACATGGGGGACCTTGTTGCTGACTCCGACAACAAGAAGTGCTGTGATTTCAACTGGGAACCAAGACTGATCATATGAAATAAAAGCATAGGCGTCTGATTGAGTTCGCCTATTTGTAGTGCAACCATAGCAAATTCCATCTTTGCAGATATAAGTCAGAGCACGAGCCACTTTTGAGGCAAAGAACGGAATGCCTGCGTCAGGGGAAAAATCATTGACAATGGTGAGATCAGGCCAAATTAGTCGACAATAGGCGATAAGGCAGGGATAAAGAACTCCTTCTGGTCCAAAAGTGCATAGGTTGATGAATTTTGCTTGACGAAGTGGCAAGCGGACATTATCTAGTTGTGAGCTCAGGAGCCGCATCAGATAATCATTCACTGTATGACACCTACCATGAGCTGCTTCGCTTCTATAGATAGCAATTTCCATCATCATGCTTCCACGCTGCTGTGCCTGGGTATTGATGATCTCATTGAGCACTGCTCGTTCCATGTCATGAGCATCTTCTGGAAGCGAAAGAGCATATTCATAGTCTGGACCCAGTTGCGCATGAGTGTCAATTCCAACCATCCACCATCATGACCGTTGTGGTTGACACGTTCGAGCATGCCATTGAACCGCTCAAATGCAAATAGCCACCAGGAGTAGACAGGACCAAAAAGTTTGATCATATCCGCAATATGCATTGATGCATGGTGGTTGATCATGAGATGAATCTTCAAGTTGAGGCAACGGAGGCAATACTGAGATAGGAATGATTGTCCAAGTTGAGCCTGTGACATCGAGATTGATTGTGTTGCAAGGAGGTGTACACCAACACATAACAGAAGGACGGCGTCATATATGTGTCGACACCTGCGTGAAAATTGAGGTACCTGGACATTGGGGGGAACTGGAGGAGCTGTATCAGGGATGCTGTTGTGTTCATCCTTCCATGACCACCACAGAAGGACAGGAGTGATCGTAAGGAGTCTCCGCCACTCATCTGCCTTCTTCAGACTCTGATTTTCGCCAAGCTACACAGCCCAGTAGTTACCATCATGTATGTGACATGAGAACATTTACGCACATTTTTTGGTAGATGAGTGATATGAGTGGGCCACTTTACCAAGTTAATTAAGGCCTCGAAGCATTGCTTAGGTGAATTTCTGCCCCCGACACCAGAAAACATATATCCTTCAAATAGTACCCGCATGAATAGATGCGCAATGATACCTGATATTGACTTGGTCAGCATTTTTCAAAACAAAGACTGACAGCTACCTAGGAATATGCAGTGCATAAAATCGAGAGCTGTTTTCTTTGATGGGAACCAGCCGGCAATAAGGTTAAGTATAACCCAGCAAACACCATGGTCATCTAGAATGGCTTTCTGACGAAGAGGGTTCGCATCTCGGGAGTAATAAGACTGTCGAAGGAGATGATAGTTGTCTGATGCTGTCCAACCTGAATTATACAGCAGTCAAAAATACAACACAGATGAAGAAGAAACAATACTATAGTCAAATCCTTCACGCGTATTAACCTTTGTGATGTCAGTGTCACAGTAAAGGCATGGGTGCATGTCATGCGAGTGCCCAGCAGTGCCTGAGAGTTTGTGAGCAGCTGGCATATCACAGTCCAGTATTTCGCAATCTGCATAAACATCTGCAGGCTCTTCTTCAAAGATGTCCATCTTCACACCTAATATATATATCAGTAAGTCATAATGATTGTGGTGCGGGTCACCATTCTGCAGCTTCATGAGATTGTGCATTGAGGGTTCCAAACAGTGATTAATTTGCTGGACATTGGGTTCCTTCGGGCCTGGCAGTACTGCGGCACATATGACATTGATCTATAAGAAGGGCTGGTCACGCAGTAGGTCATTGATAGCATGATAAATAGCTCCTGTTGAGTGAGGTCGATTGTCGAGTATACCCATCCTGTAAACCAATGTTAAAATAGTACATTGTATGCATAGAAAAAGACCATACCAGTCGCAGTTCATTATTAGATGAAGTCCATAGCGATGTTCAATCAGATTTCGGTGGTTTCGTCCCTCCTTTGGCCAATCACGAACAGTGCCGGACTCTCCAACTTCTCGCACAATAATTGTCTCCAGCTCGTGCCAAAGAGTACCATCATGAATATCTGTCATGACAAAGCTCTCGTCGTCGTTCTGTGGTGGGATATCACTACGGTGTCTTCTTAGATAGATGATCTATAGATGAACACCTACAAAATCAAATATCTCCACGGTCAGCAATTCAGACAAATACCAATGACTGATAATGTGGTCGTTCGTGGGTGGCCTGTCAGTATATCCAAGCTACGGTCATACAAAGGTACTCTACGATATCAGTATAGAAACACTAGTCAACCCAGCAGTATGGTGTTGACTAAAAGAAACAAGAAACAGAAACAAAACTAAGACTAAGCACAATCACTGGTGCTAAACAGAAATGATAACTAAAACTAGGCACAATCAATGGTGCTATATTCTAAACATACTGTGAAACAGTCATGCGAAGCTGTATTGGTCACTCCCACAGCGCAAACAGGTAGGATCAAAGGTCAAGACTTGTCAAAAGCTTCCATAGAACTCTTAGCCTAATATTGAATCTGCTGCCAAGGAACTCACGATGAGTATTAAACAGAATCAGAAACGGACGTCCTTGGATTTCAATACCAAGTCCCCTATTCAATAGCTAAAGCCTATCTGACAAAATAACAATCCTGGCTCAGTATACTACTCCGATGTGTGAGGTCAAGCAGACAATAATCAACTTCTGAAGTCTCCCCACTAAGCTACTCTGAGCCTTTAGCGGACATAGAGACAACACGAAGAATCCAAAGATAAGGCTCAAATGTATTCGCTACAATCAAAAGTACGTTAGTATCAGCAGCAAGAAACAAACACTCAGTATATATTCGCTAAAATCTATAACACGTTAGTGACACAATAATAAATGAGCACTCAGACTGTTAGCTTTCAATGGGTAGAGAGAGTGAAACAGATAGAGTGAAACAGAACCCAGACCAGTGAAACAGAGATAAAAGAAATAGATCCCAAACTAAAAGAAATAGATCCCAGACAAAATGAAATAGATCCCAATCAAAATGAAATAGATCCCAGACTAGAGTGAAATAGATCCCAAGCCTAGAGAAACAGAGATAAAAGAAATAGATCCCAATCCTAGAGAAACAGATAGAGAGATAGAGACAGAGACACGTGCACACAAACACAAACACTGAGAAAAACAAGAGATTTCTCAAAACAAATAAGCCAGGCCTTGCAGGTTGTGGAGCACAGTGAGCTCAATGGCTCCTACTGTCTCATCAATGTACCTGACAATGTCAAACAACTCTTTGTGGTTGTTGCTGATGCTGATCACACACAAACCTCACTCACAATTTTATTAAGGGTGACTCTGGGAGTCTGATTGATTGCATTTCAGGCCAAAACGGAGGTCCTTATATAGACAAATCTATGTGGCTGTGCTAATTTACTCCCGTGTACCTAGGTATATTCAATTTTCGTTTTCTCACGTATCTAGATATACTACATTATTTGTCATAGATCATAATACCTGTGTGAATTGTACGTAGGTGAACATGATTTGTCAGGCTTAGTCATAGATCAGCTGACTGTGGTAAGAGAACATGGTTTACATAATATGTTGAAACTTGTTTGTATTTGGTGTTATTTAGAGACATAGCATATCTCATAAAGCAAAACCGGGTAACACGTGTATTTAAAGTTTCCTGGAAGTTCCCGCAAACAAACATATGCGGAAAGTATTTTTCATGGAAGCTTCAGATGCGTGAGAATCTAGCTGAGTCATCTTCGAGCCAAATAACACAAAATTCATTCCATGCAAAATTCCCGAAAAATATTCACTAACACTGCACGGTCATGCACTGGACCAGTTTGGTGCAGGTCAACGGCTGTCTCGAATTGATCTTGCGAAGCCAGGTCTCATGAGCATGTGTTGTAATGTCCCTTCACTCTGTATACAGGAGACCCGTGCAGTCTGGAACTGTGCAGTTCGGAGTAGGTAGTGCCTGGTCGGGATCGATTCTGAGGTGCTGTTTCGCACTAGCCAGTGCTCAAACAGGACGGGAAAGGATAGGAAGTGCATTGGCAATGAAGAGGCCATTGAGAG